TCTCTCTCTCTCTCTCTCTCTCTCTCTCTCTCTCTCTCTCTCTCTCTGTGCGCGTGCGTGCGTCCCTCCTCCTGCTGCTCTCTGCTGCTACTGTACTCTGGGTGCGCGCACACTCAGCTGTGGTACAGTGTTTACAGAGATGGCGTCGGTCCTCCTGCCACAGGCTCCAACAACAGCACGACTTGAACGCATCCATTATCCTGAGCTGAAAAACAAGCTCTCAGTCCGCCCACCTCGCTGCTCTCTGTGCGCCTTTTCCAGCCTCGAGCAGGCACGATGGTGGACTTTAAAGGTGCTCACTGCAAGCTAAGACATCAAACACTAAAGATATTTTATCCTGGGTGCAGCTTGAGTTTATTGCCAGAGGTGTTCCAGATATGCGGGTATGCCCTCAATGTAAACACAAGCACTTCTTCCTGCAGGCTTTAAGCAACAAACCTGATGTGTTGGCTCTGGATGTCACTTCTGAAATAAAATGTAAAGCTTTATGTGCATTCTCTTCAAGATATAAAATTCAAAGTTATGACTCACTTCTTGGGTGACCTCACAGTTCATGGCTTTGTCTAAAAGAATCAGGGCTTTTGCTGAAAAATATACTTAAAAATAATACTTTCAGGGCGCACGTTGCTCCAAATCCTGCGTAAATCCTGCAGATGTGCAGGAAAACCACATGTGCAATCACAGTCGATAGTTGCGCTTCTTTACTTTATCAGTGATTTTAGGAACGAAAGCTTTGATCGTCTGCAAAATCCTTGCACTCTTAGCGTTTCAACTGTTCTTGGGTCATTAATTCGCCGAACTCCACCTGTGCTCCAGAGACCTTCAGCTCTGCACGTGCTCGGTGAAACAAACATGATTTGTGCTGCTTCAGTCTCAATGGAGCGTAGAAAAAGAGCAAAGGGAGATAAAGTGGTTTTCTGGTCCACTGCCAGCCATCCTCTTCACATCAGCTGCCCCCCTCCTTATGTCTTGGACCACAGAGGCCCCAAAGACCCCACATGGGAGACAAGAGCCTGAGAGCATATGGACAGGAGGAAAACAGCAGGCTGTCATCTGCTGATCCGGCTCATAATTATGTGATCTCCTTGTCGACATGACGCTTGTAATGTGGGGTCAGACACCTACAATAAGGTATGTGATCAGCTGACACCACCACACAGATCTTACAGCCACTTTGCACAAGCAGAACCTCCTGTCAGTCTGTCTCAGGTTACAGAGTCTGCCAAGACTTGATAGCTGCACCTGAAATCTGAGGACAAACAACCGGCCTGCTCCAGGTTTGGATTCTTCTTGTTGTGAGGCGAAATTACAACCAAATTTAAACCATGCTGATTTTAAACACATGCAGAATAATTCCATAAAATAAAACTATAAATGGTTTTAAAATATTTATATTGAAATTGGTATTTATACAAGTTTATTTAAAGCTTACTGATAATTTGTGAGTTTCAGCCCCATTTATTTGAGTCGTTTTTACTTCAAAGAACAATAAATCAATGAGTAACCTATTTGGTTGTATGTCTGTTCTCTTTTAGGAGTTTTTCTTTTTAGCAAGGAAGATTAAAAACCAGAGATAACGTTCAAAGTATCAATAAGATATTAACAAATCAGCTCAGGATGTGGATTAACTAAGAGCCCTCAGCTGGTTATACTGCCCTCTAGTGGTTAATATTAATTACTGCATATTTAAACCCAAAACAAGAAAGACAAAAAAAAATAAGTTTCACTCAGAAAATGAAATATGTTATTTTTATTGGCTTCATACACACCAACGCATCAGATAATATAAACTAGACAGACTAAAATAAGAAAACATAAAAGAAAAGTAAAAAAAAACTAAATATATGATTACAACTCATTTAGCTCATAGAAACCGTTCATTAGCATCACTCTTTGCAGAAGTGGTGTTAAGTCTGAACTTACATTAATGCCAACAAATTGAATAAAAAAAAAAGTTCACTTTGAGGACAACTCTTATTAGGCAGACAACAAAATTTCAGCTCTGCATGACTGTTTTATTCTGTGGGATTACCATGAAAAATCAATTTAACCCATGAGATGGCCAAAGTAACGCCCAGGAAAGTCTCAGCTGTGTGACACCAAACCTTATCACAGGAGTAAGGCAACAATAAATTCACCTAACAATGATTTACGATGCGAGTTGGAGGTTTTTGAAGATGTTTGACGTCTCTCTGTGGGAATCTCTGAGCTGTGCTGCCCTCCTTGGGAATAAAAAATTAATTGGATATCAAGTTTGATAAGACACAGATGATGTATCTCATACATCTGGTGTGCTGCTTTCAGGTTCTTTGAATGTTTTATGAGTGTGGGCATACTTCAAAAAGACATTATCCCTTTTCAGGCTGAAGAAATTAAAAGCATCAGTTGTTTACCTTTGGTGACATCTTGTGGAAAGTATAGTATCTACTGAGAGACTCTAATTATGATGATCTTCCATCTGGGCATGCATACAGCACTTCTCTTTTTTCACATTTTGATATGTTACAGTCTTATTCTAAATTGTATTAAATTAAACATTTTCCTCAAAATTCTACACACAATATTCCATCATGACAGATCTCTCTTGTAAATGAGTCCTCAAGGCTCAACGAGACTAACCTGTATAAATAAAGGTCGAATGAATGAATGACAATGTGAAAAAAATATTTTTTTGTTGTTTTTTTGCAAATTTATTGAAAATATTAAATTAAGAAGTCACATTTATGCACAGCTTTTACTATGAAGCTCAAACTGAGCTCAGATGCTGTTTCCACTGATCATCCTTGAGATGTTTCTACAAGTTAAATGGAGTCCACCTGTGGTAAAATCAGCTGATTGGACTTGATTTGGAAACACACACACCTGTCTGTAGAAGGTCCCACAGTTCATGTCAGAGCACAAACACATGAAGTCAAAGGACTTGTCTGTAGACCTCTGAGACAGGATTGTGTTGAGGCACAAAGGATACACAGAAAGAAACATTTCTGCTGTTTTGAAGATCCCAGTGGGCCCAGTGGCCTCCATCATTTGTAAACGGAAGAAGTTTGGAACCACCAGGACTCTTCCTAGAGCTGACCAGTGTCTAAACTGAGCGATCGGAGGAGAAGGCCCTTAGTCAGTCTGCTGGAGCTCCAGCGTTCCTCTGTGGAGAGAGGAGAACCTTCCAGAAGACAACCATCTCTGCAGCAATCCACCAATCAGGCTGTATGGTAGAGTGACCAGGTGAAAGCCACTCCTTAATAAAAGGCACATGGCAGCTCATCTGGAGTTTGACAAAAGGACCTGAAGCACAGGTCCTTTCTCAGACTATGAGAAACTAAGTTCTCTGGTCTGATGAGATAAATATTGAACTCTTTGGTGTGAGCAGGTGTCATGTTTGGAGGAAACCAGCTCATCACCAGACCAACACCATCCCTAACGTGAAGCATGGTGGTGGCAGCATCATGCTATGGGGATGGTTTCCAGCAGCAGGAACTGGAAGACCAGACAGGATAGAGAGAAGAATGAATGCAGCAATGTACAGAGACATCCTGGATGAAAACCTGCTCCAGAGCGCTCTTGACCTCAGACTGGGGCAAAGGTTCATTTTTCATCTGGACAACAACCCAAAGCACATGACCAAGATCTCAAAGGAGCAGGTTCAGGACCACTCTGTGAAGGTCCTGGAGGGGCCAAGCCAGAGTCCAGACTTGAATCTGATTGAACATCTCTGGAGATTTCTGAACATGGCTGCACAGACGTCTCCCATCCAACCTGGTGGAGCTTGAGAAGTACTGCAAAGAAGAATGGGACAAACTTTCTAAAGATGGTGTGCTCAGCTTGAAGCATCATATTCATGAAGACTTGAGGCTGTAACTGCTGCTGAAGGTGGATCAAGTATTAAGCAAAGGCTGTGGATACTTGAGTAAATGTGACTTCTTAGTTATCTAGTTTTAATAAATTTGCAAAAATCTCAATGTTTTTCCACATTGCCAAAATGGGGTATTGTGTGCTTTGAGACAATGTAATGTAATACCGTTTGAAATAAGGCCGCAATATAACAAAATGTGGAAAAAGTGAAGCGCTGTGAATATTTTCCAGGTGCACTGTAACAGGGGTTGTCTTTAAAACATTAATGATAGACTTAAAACATCTAAACTGAACATGTATTTTATATATATTTGCTTCGTCCACAAGCACAAGTCAAAATTTTAGTGCAGTCAGTAATCCAACATGAAACTTATCTTCTGACAGTTAAATAGGTACAGAGAGGAGGTGCTGAACTACATAGATCCATATCAGTCAAATATCACAAACTTTTTCTGAAAATTAAAACGGGTTTTAATGAAGCAAAAACAATGAGATGAAATGACTGGAATCTTTCTTGTGGAGGAAATTATGACAATTTTGTTGAACAAATTCTACAACTAAAGTAGTCGGGCAAAGGGTAGAGCAGAATAGAAACATCTTTTATTTTTAGGATTGTATATAAAAAAAAAAGGAAGATAAAGTAAAAGAATTAACCAAGACAGATTATTATTGTGGTTTCTATATACGAGGTCTTGTGATGTTTGAGTTTCTGTCCTTGTGGATTATCTTCAATTCCATTAACGCAGTAAAATGTTTTAGTTAAATATCAAAGCATAATTTTATTAAGAATTTACCTACTTGTGAGGTTCAGGGACAGTAAACTCAAAGCTATCAAAGAGGATTAATGTTGGGAGACAATTTTAATCCATCCAGCTAAAATATTAAATACAGGTCTTGTGTCTATATTTTACATAGGTTTGTCTTGACTTGGTCATAACTATACATATCTCATTTATGAATTGGCATCTTATAATTAGGTAATGCTAAATCATAATCATAAGATGTTAAATCAGTTATGAGGCATGAAGTAATAATTATAATGTGCATTATGAGAAAATAATTGTGAGCGCATTGTTTGGACGTCTTTTTTGGTCTCGGAAATGAGTTTTCATAAATATTTTGACTGGTGACGTAAATATTTGTTTACTTTTATTATTATTTATTTGTACATTTACGATTTATTTTATTTTTATTTTTTTCACGACGCAATGATTACAGCGAATTCCGTGCGAAGCGAAAGTGCTGAGCCGGAGCGGAAGCTGCGTTTACTTGTTGCTCAGGATTTCATCATTCTCCGGAGCTCGCGTTACGGCTGTCCATGCTTCTCCGCAGCGCAGCATCTGCACTGCTGAGGACCAGCACTGAGATTTCCACCTCCTGTCGGCCGTCTACGGTCCGCTTCGTTCGGCAGTCGATTCGCCAGCCGCCCAGAAACCGACCGTTTTCCACCTCGGTCTGCTTTTGTAAGAACAAGAAGAAAAGCCTGTGGCTTCAGCTTGCGGAAGAACGAACCACTATGGACGGCAACATTGAGAAGATTCTCGCCCCTTTGAGGCTTGCAGTCAAAGAACAGGTAATGCTGACTTCACTTTATTCATTTCGACTAGTGAAAACCCCGAGTTAACTGCATTGATTGACAAAATGCACAGTTTCTGTCATATTCAGTACGATTAGGCTAGCCGGCTAGCTTGATCGGCTGCTCCCGACCTGTCATTGAATGAGAGCAGCCGGTTCGTGCTAAGCTAACCGCTAGCTGACAGTTAGCTTGTTGCCACGTTTCAGAGCTGACCCTGCTGCAGCAGACGGTGCTTAGCTGGGTGGGGTTTTGGAAAAGAAGCCAAGTTTGTGTTTCTACCAAAATCACTATTTTGTTTTATAAACGGACTTGAGCCAAGTCGTGTTTGTTGGTGAAGCAGTGGTTTTCCATGTTTTTTTTAGGGGGACCTGGTGCGCCAGATGAAACAGGAAGGAGCTCCTGAGGTGGATGTGACCAAAGCTGTAGCTGAACTGAAAGCAAGGAAGAAAGCTCTGGAGAACAAGGCAAGTGATTTTTTTTTTTTTTAAATTCAGTGTCATTATTTTATATTTAGTTTGAATGCTTTACACTGACTCATGTCTGCACATTTTCTGCCCAGTTCTCATTTGTTGCAGTAGAAATGCATCTACTTGTGCTGCAAATACTGAATGCATTAATAGTTGGTGTCAAATTTGCAGGAGCTGTCATTGCAACCCAAAGATGACATCGTTGACAGAACCAAGATGGAGGATACCCTCAAGAGGCGGTTTTTCTATGATCAGGCTTTTGCCATCTATGGAGGTAATACCATAAATAAAGAACTCTGTTGGCGTTTACATCAAAACATAGCTCTTCAAGCATACTGTGACCATTCAGTGATGCTCCCCAGGTGTGAGTGGACTGTATGACTTCGGCCCTGTGGGCTGTGCCCTGAAGAACAACATCCTGCAGGCCTGGAGGCAGCACTTCATCCAAGAGGAGCAGATCTTGGAGATCGACTGCACCATGCTCACCCCTGAACCTGTACTCAAGTAGGTGATTATTTCCCTCTTTGAATTAGTCCACATAAGGCTGTGATTAGTTAATGTAGAAATTATACAGTACTAAAAACATCTGGACGATTGCCAAATACATTAATATAAAAGATTACACAATGCAGACTTAAAATTTGTGCTTAAATTTTTGTAGTTTTCACATTCCATCAATTTTTTAAATAATTTAATTGCATCAACATTCTGCAAATTATTTTTGTGAGCTATGAAAAAAATTGTGTGACTGTTGGAGGGCTTTTTTTGTGTGTGAACTTGGACATGTTTCAAATGTTCTTGTCATCAGAAAAAGCAAATATTTTGGTACCATTTAATAAGACGCCACTTATAGATGGCTAATAAATAGTTTATAGATATGTTATTAATTCCTCTATAAACACGTTATAAATCATTAACTGTTTATTATGCATTAATTAAGTGTGACAGAGAGACAAAACTGACCAGTTTCTTGCCTTATCTGTTCACTTATATATTTCATCTAGAGTTGTTATATTAAACATCTCAGACTAAGTTACTACCTTGTAAGCACAATAAGCATTTGTAAACCTATTTTTTTAGGATATAATATTAGTTGTAAATACTTATAATGCAGTGCAATATTATATGCTAAAGAATTAGGTTTACAAATGCTTATTGTGCTTACAAGGTAGTAACTTTGATGAAATATATAAGTGAACAGATTTGGCACGAAACCGGTCAGTTTTGTCTCTCTGTCACCCTTAATTAATGCATAATAAACAGTTATTAATGATTTATAAAGTGTTTATAGAGGAATTAATATATCTAAGAACAATTTATTAGCGTCTATAAGGGGAGTCTTATAAAGCGGTGCCAATATTTCATACTGTATTCCATTGTTTTTTTGTTTGTTTATTCCAACTATTTATAAAAAAGCACCTGGTGGTTCCTAGAGTCAGCTCCATTATGCTGAACTGTGGGTTTTTTAACAGGTGCACATTGATTTCTGCAGTTTTATGCATGGAAGCTGCCTCTACTGCAGCGCTCCATAGCCCGGCTGCAGATACACTCTTAACAAGTGAAATGACAGCGACATAAACCTCTTGTTTCCTTGTCGAGGCCGATTATTCATCAGTTGTGTTCTCGGCTCAACTAGAACTTCAGGACACGTGGAAAAATTTGCAGACTTCATGGTGAAAGATGTCAAGAACGGTGAATGCTTCAGGGCTGACCACCTCCTCAAAGGTAAAAAAAAAAAAAAAACATATTCATACCTGTGTTGTAACATCAAAACGTTGTGCAATGACTAAGATGTTGAGTTGTTTTGATTTTACGATGCTGTAACTTAAATAGTCTTGGTTTTACCTGCATTGTTGTGTTCCTCCTGCAGCTCATCTGCAGAAGCTGATGTCTGATAAGAAGTGCGCAGCCGAGAAGAGGACAGAGATGGAGAACGTCATCACTCAGGTCAGTCTGTAGAAAATTGTTTCATTAACCAGACTGTTTGACAAAACTCACTTTATCTGTACTTATTATATTGAATTTGTTTCAGATGGACAACTACACCCAACAGGAGTTGACTGACCTCTTTGTTAAATACAACGTCAAGTCACCGACCACTGGGAACGAGCTCACCCCTCCCATTTCCTTCAACCTGATGTTTCAGACGTCCATTGGACCAGGAGGGAATATGCCAGGGTATGATCAAACTCAAACCGTGAAGAAAGTTGGTGACGAGTTAGATTTTTGCCGCTGATTGTATTTTTTTAAATTAATTTGCAGCTACCTGAGGCCTGAAACTGCTCAGGGAATCTTTCTTAATTTTAAGCGCCTCCTGGAGTTCAATCAGGGAAAACTTCCCTTCGCTGCTGCTCAAATAGGAAACTCCTTCAGAAATGAAATCTCTCCTCGATCTGGACTCATCCGTGTCAGGTGAGGAAATTCTCTGGCTTTATTACCGTTTTTACACTTCCAAACAATCCTGTTTAGAGATAAGAAACTTCAAAAACCAACTCCAGAACTCCTCCACTTTTCTGTGCAGGGAGTTCACGATGGCTGAGATCGAACACTTTGTGGATCCGAATGAGAAAGACCATCCTAAATTCTCTAATGTAGCCGACCTGAACATCACGTTGTACTCCTCCAAAGCTCAGACCAGTGGCCAGTCGGCTGAAATTATGAATCTGGGAGATGCTGTGAATCAAGTAAGAACCTAGAAACGGATCGTATTGGATTACCGGGCGTTTCATTTAAACCGAAACTGACGTTTTTATTGCCATATTCAGGGAGTGATCAATAACTCTGTCCTGGGATACTTCATTGGGAGGATCTACCTCTACCTTACTAAAGTGGGTATTGCCAAAGATAAACTGCGTTTCCGACAGCACATGGACAACGAAATGGCTCATTACGCCTGTGACTGCTGGGACGCTGAAGCCAAAACCTCCTACGTATGTTGAACTACACTGCTTCATGCGTATGAGGTTGTTGTCGTACTGTTGCTCAAAATAACAACGCTGTCGGTTACAGGGCTGGATTGAGATCGTGGGCTGTGCTGACCGGTCTTGTTATGATCTGAAATGTCACGCACGAGCCACAAAGGTCCCTCTGGTTGCTGAAAAGCCTCTCAAAGAACCCATATCCTTAAACTGCAAAAGCTTTTAACACTGAAGAAAATTCTGAAAAATATTTAGGTTTTACTCGGAGGTATTTGTCCTTAACTTCTCCACACTTGACTGTAAATGTTGTCCAGTTTGAGCCTAACAAAGGAGCTATTGGAAAGGCTTATAAGAAAGATGCTAAGCTAGCTATGGAGTATCTCGCAGTGTGTGACGAATGCTTCATTACAGAGCAGGAGGCGCTGCTCAACGAAACGGGGTGAGTGCCGTATTTTCCGCCTTACAAGTCGCACCACCGTATAAGTCGCATCTATTATGCGTTTATGTGTCACCGCTGACCACCCGGAAATGTGGGCTGGTTTTGTACCAAAAATCGAGTGGCTGCCAAAATGACGGGAGCGTGCACGGGAGGACTTTACCAAGAATTTAACAAGATTAACACATAAAAACAATTATTTGTTTGTTTGAAATTATAGCAAAGGTGTGTCTCAGTTGAACTTTTCCTTAATAAATGCACTTTAATGGTCAAACCAGCTGCATTTCGCCTGGGCGGCGCAGCGAAATGCAGCTGAAGGTGACGAAGGTGGCTTGGTATGGCAAGCCAAGCGTCTCATTAATAACCACTTTTACCTATTAATGAGGCACTTGGCTTGCCATATTACTCGAGGACCCTCTAGTGGCTGAAAATGGTAGTGTTTTAATATTTTTCATGTCAGAATGAATGAAATTGTCAGATCTCAGCCAAAAAATGGGTTATAAATACAGGAACAAAACGTATAAGTCGCAGGACCTGCAAATTTATGCAAAAAGATGCGACTTATACGGCAAAAAATATGATACATTTTGGTTGTCGTTTTTGTTGGCCACTCAGAACTAGGGGTTGAACGACTACATATTTTTTAAAGTTGACTTTAACATAATAGTCGAGTCGACCTCGACTAGTTGCTGATGTCATAGGAACTCGAGACGCAAAAAAATAAATAAAATAAGTAATTTTATTATTTACAAAAAAAGAACAACAAAACATCGGGAGCGTATATTTATGCTCCTACCATTTATCATACTGCAAATAAGTAACAGGAAAACCAAAACTACTATTAAGCTGCAAAAGTTAGTTTTATTTTATTTAATCCACTAGATAAAATAAACCACCGCGGCGGTTGTGCATTCTCTACCGGTGGTGGTGCACACCGCGGGTGATGCGCGGTGGATTCTCCGTTGGTGTGCACCCTTGTTTGTATTTTATTTAGTGGATTAAATAAAACTAAAATTAAAAACTGTCCACCGGCGGTGTGCACAGCAACTAATACACGGTGGGGCGCGCGGTGCTGGTGGAGCACATGTTTTAATTTTATTTAGTGAATTAAATAAAATGAAACTAAAACAACAATCTTTAGTGAAACACTTCCACACTGTTGATGAATTTCTACCTGTTTGGGAAGACTTCCTGCTCTTCACCTTCCATCTGCTTGGAAGAATCAGTTTTGTAGCCAGCGGCCCAGACGATCATGTGACATGTGACACACCCACTGACTGTGACTAGTCGATGTGAAATCTAAAACCTTGCGAGACGGACCAGCATAGACTAGTCGATTAGTCTATTCAAACCCTACTCGGAACACTCACAAGGATGTCTTAATAACCGATTTGACTGTATATTATCAGAACCGCTCAAATTTATTTCTGCTCCACAGAGAGTTCACCATCGAGACAGAAGGCAAGACGTTCAAACTGACAAAAGACATGGTCGGCGTGAAGCGATTCCAGAAGACTCTGCATGGTGAGACGCACTCCTGAGGAACAGAAGATGAATTTACGGAGGCTTTCTGTAACGTCGGTGTTTGTTGTGTGCAGTGGAGGAAGTGGTTCCCAGTGTAATCGAGCCCTCCTTTGGCATCGGTAGGATCATGTACATCATCTTTGAACACACATTCCATATCCGAGAAGGAGATGAACAAAGAACAGTAAGCTGTCATTTCACCAGATGGTTGTTTTTTTTTTATACCTTGGTTCTGTTACTTTTTTGTGTCATGTCTGAACTTTGATTGAAATTTTAGTTGCAATAATTAAATAAATGCCTGGTTTCTCTCTTTCTTTCTTTTTAAACAGTATTTTAGCTTCCCAGCTACCGTAGCTCCCTACAAGTGTTCTGTTCTACCTCTGAGCCAAAATCAAGAGTTCATGCCCTTCGTTAAGGAATTATGTAAGTGTCCACGTGATGTTTGTGTTAGTTAAATGTTGCAGTTCAGTTACCCTGGTTTCTCTTCTCAGCCGAGGCGATGACCAAAAACAGCGTGTCTCACAAGGTGGACGACTCCTCGGGATCCATTGGAAGGCGTTACGCCAGGACGGATGAGATCGGCGTGGCGTTTGGCATCACGATCGACTTTGACACAGTGAATAAGACGCCTCACACGGCTACTCTGAGGGACCGCGACTCGATGAGGCAAATCAGGGCCGAGGTACAGCAGCACTTCCTTTTCCTCACCACTTGACCTGAGATTTCTTGGATTCTAGCATGCTTAAAGATATAATAAGAAATCTTTGAATTTTAACTCCCAATGTTAAATATTCAGAATATTTCCCCTCCCGTGACCAGTTTTGCTGTTTGTTTTAGGGATTTGGGGTGCCACTTGGTTATTTGGGACTGCATAGTATATGCAGACACCTATTATTATCCACCCAACCTGGGTTTCTTAATATTTATATCTTATACGCTTCCGTCAATTATAATGCGGCCTGAACCGCAACGTGTACCCACACAAATTTTATATCAATACGACCGACTCGGCACCGTGATGTGTGCTATTACTTTTATTGGCGTTTCGAGTTACCATGGCAACACATTTTGCTAACAAAGATGCCATATGTCCTCATAGGAAATGAATGAGGAAAACACTCCTCACACTCAGCTGCTGTTGTCACATGACTTGGAGTGTTGAGGTCCCTGAAGAAAACAGAAACTCGCTGTTGGATTTGTTTGAAACTCACAGAAAGTAATCATCAGATAAATGTCTAGAACTGATTAACGTTTGGAGCCATTTTGCTTCAAGATGGCTGCCACAGCTACCTCAGCAAACACAAAATTGTCTATAACTTGGTCATTCTTTGAGATATTGAGCTGAAATTTGGTGAAGTTGTAGCTGAGAACACTCCCTATCACATACGAGTCCAAATCAAAACTCCAAGATGGCCACCTTGGCTAAAAAGGAAAAATCACAATGACGGCCATTTTTAGAGCTATTCAGCTTAAATTTGGTGTAGTGGGAGCTAGGCCTGTCGCGATAAACGATAAATCAATTCATCGCACGATGAATAAAAATTATCAAACTCATTTTCATTTATCAGCTTTATCGTTTCTTTGTGTCTCTTTCTACTGAAGACACTGGATGACAAAAGGCTCAACCGGTGCTCTTCACTGACCCGCTCCCTTTCTCTTTAAAATCTGTTTCAACGATCCAAAATCATGTTTTTGGATCGTTGAAAGCAGTTAAGCTACGAGCTAAGCTAACAGGCCGACTTCGGGAATAAACCTCCGTCTTGTCAAGCTCCAAAATTCACGGTTGAAACCTGTGCCTTCGTGTAAAAAGTTGTTTTTCTCTGCAATAATAGCTGAGAAACTTTTTTACTGATTTTTTTTTTTTAAATAAAAGCTTTGTGTGAAAAATGCTAAAGAGCTCAAATCACTGAGCGTCCTCCATGTCAGCCCATGTCACGTCAAGGGCCGGTACTCCCACTTTTCTTAAAGATGCTGCTCAGCTATCCATCCTTTGGTTCAAACAGTCTTATACTTCCATCAGGTGGTCAAAAAAAGGTACTACACTCCAAACAAATCAACATTTCTTCTAAAAATTGACAATTAATTATTGTTAATTTTCAAACAATATTGTCGCTTATCGCAATAATTTCTGAGACAATTAATCGCCCAGCAAAATTTGTTATTGTGACAGGCCTAGTGATAGCTGAGAGCTAACCCCAACACATAGTACTGTCAAATCACAATTTTAATCGACAGCAGCCTGGCAGTCCCCGTCAAAGTTTCTCCAGGAACTTTATAGCGTTTTTTTTTTTTTTTTGTATTCCAAAGGGGGGTAAAATATTGCGTACATCCCATCAAGAACAGTTACTCCGTTTATTCATTCGTTTTTTATTTGTTTTTGTAGAGCACTTTAGTTTCTGAGTCAATTCTTTTAATTCCTGAAATGTTTATTAAATGTTGCACTACTTTACAGTTCTACAGACTATCATCCTCATCATTTAAACCCTCTTCTCCTTCCCTCAGGTTAGTGAGCTGCCTGTGATCGTTCGGGATTTGGCCAACGGTACATTAACGTGGGCTGAAGTGGAGAGCAAGTACCCCATCTTTGAAGGACAGGAGACCAGCAAAAAGGATCAAAACGAAGAGTAAATCTTGTTACGTTTAAAAATGCAGATTTGAAGCCAAGGCAGCACCAGGAAGAATCCTGCGACTGTGATGAGCCACAGTGCGTTCTCCACTTTAATCACTAAAACGCTGCGTATTTAACTAATGTTGGAGCAGTGGAGAAGCTCGCATAGGACTTCTTTCATGTGACAATTTCAACATGTTTCTAAAAGGGACAAAATATAACCGGGGTATCGGTGGAAGGAGACTTCCACTGTTCCAGTTTTCAGGCCGATTTGATTATTTAACAGTTCCAATAAAAGCAGCCAGCACTTACTGGACACCGACAAGCCACTGCTGTGTTTTAATCTTGTGAAGCTTTAGATTTAAGGACATCTACTACACCTGTGATCATTAGTATAATAATTAATATAAAGTCACTACAGAGTAGCTGCTTGTCATGTATCATGGGAACGTGGCACTTGGGATTTTTCAGCAAAGCATTAACGCAGTTTGCAAAAAGTTGATGCTGATGCTGCTGTCACCCAAGTATGTAAACGGGATGTTATTTTTCTTTGGAGTAACAGGTCAGTGAGAAATCTACCTGCTTTTGGGTTTACAGTATGTTCAAATATTCGCTGTGTATAACCTCGCTTCACACTAAAACAGTTTCATGAAATGGAAAGAGCTCAACAGAATCAAGTTTAAAGATGGTATTTTTGAACACTTCATATTCCAAGATTCATAAGTAATGCCATCATTGAGTATTTGCGAAATACAGTTGTTTGAAAACATGTATGAACACAGAGTCTGCAGCAAGTTGATCTTTATGTCGTCCTGTGGGGTTAACTTGTTTCCAAAAAAGTTGGGAGGACACTAAACAAATTGTGAATAAAAACTGAATGCAATGATGTGGAGATGTCAAGTGTCAATATTGTATTCGTAATATAACATAGATGACAGATCAAAAGTTTAATCTGAGTAAATGTAACATTTTAAAGGTAAAATATGTTGATTCAAAATTTCACAGTGTCAACAAATCCCCTAAAAAGTTGGGACAAGTAGCAATAAGTGGCTGGAAAAAGGAAATTTAGCATATAATGAACAGCTGGAAGACCAATTAACACTAATTAGGTCAATTGACAACATGATTGGGTATAAAAAGAGCTTCTCAGAGTGTCAATGTCTCTCAGAAGCCAAGATGGTAAGAGGATCACCAATTCCACCATTGTTGCACAGAAAGATAGTGCAGCAATACCAGAATGGTGTTACCCAGCGTAAAATAGCAAAGACTTTTAAGTTTTCATCATCAACCGTGCATAACATCATCAAAAGATTCAGAGAATCTGGAACAATCGCTGTGTGTAAGGGTCAAGGCCGTAAAACTCTACTGGATGCTCGTGATCTCCGAGCCCTTAAACGTCACTGCACCTCAAACAGGAATGCCACTGTCAAGGAAATAACAGAATGGGCTCAGGAATACTTCCAGAAAGCATTGTCAGTGAACACAATCCACCGTGACATCCGCCGTTGCCAGCTGAAACTCTATAGTGCAAAGAGGAAGCCATTTCTAAGCAAGCTCCACAAGCTCAGACGTTTGCACTGGGTCAGGGGTCATTTAAAATGGAGTGTGGCAAAATGGAAGACTGTTCTGTGGTCAGATGAGTCACGATTTGAAGTTCTTTATGGAACACTGGGACGCTATGTCATCCGGACCAGAGAGGACAAGGATAGCCCAAGTTGTTATCAACGCTCCGTTCAGAAGCCTGCATTACTGATGGTATGGGGTTGCATGAGCGCTTGTGGCATGGGCAGCTTGCATGTCTGGAAAGGCACCATTAATGCAGAGAACTATGTTCAGGTTCTAGAACAACATATGCTCCCATCTAGACGTCATCTCTTTCAGGGAAGACCCTGCATTTTTCAACACGATAATGCCAGACCACATTCTGCAGCAATCACAACATCATGGCTACGTAGGAGAAGGATCCGGGTACTGAAATGACCAGCCTGCAGTCCAGATCTTTCACCTATAGAGAACATTTGGTGCATCATAAAGAGGAAAACATAAAGAGGAAGACAAAGAAGGCCCAAGATGATTGAACAGTTAGAGGCCTGTATTAGACATGAATGGGAGAGCATTCCTATTTCTAAACTTGAGAAACTGGTCTCCTCTGTCCCCAGACGTCTGTTGAGTGTTGTAAGAAGAAGGGGGGATGCCACACAGTGGTAAAAATGGACTTGTCCCAACTTTTTTGGGATTTGTTGACGCCATGAAATTTGGAAACAACATATATTTCCCTTAAAATGATACATTCTGTCAGTTTAAACTTTTGATCAGTGATTTGTGTTCTATTCTGAATAAAATATTAGATGTTGGCACCTCCACGTCATTGCATTCAGTTTTTATTCACAATTTGTTTAGTGTCCCAACTTTTTTGGAATCCGGTTTGTACAAATATATATATATATATATATATATATATATATATATATATATATATATATATTATACATATGTGTGTGTGTGTGTGTGTGTGTGTATAAAATACAGATACTGCAAAGATTCCTTTAGGTCTGCAACCAAATTGAAATCACTGCACTTCACTGTGTCGTACAGTTTCCAGTAATAAACAATATTAACCATACAAGACTGATACACTATTTAGCACAATGCACATTTCTGAATTGGCATCTTAAAGGACCTGCAGCATGACTCTATTTACATTACACTGCAGATACTCTATGGTGTTCTTGTGCATGGACCAGTATGTCAGGAAATATGGGACTGGTTCAAAATGACAGCAGGCTTAGACCTTCCCACAACAGATCTGGCAACGAGGAAAATAATGCATTTACAGGTTAGTCTCATTGAGTCACGAGGACTCGTTTACAAGAGAGACCAGTTTATGAGACCTGTTGAGACCTGTTAAAATGAGCAACATGAGAATATTTCAGTTGAATCTTGTGAAAATTATAACACGTCTTCAGTGTTTTATGTGTGGTGGAGTAAAAGGTCTTGATTTTTTCTTGGGGACAAATAAAATGTGTCACCTTCCATAAGGAGTCTGATAATAACCACATAACACGCCTTAGTTATAGTCTGTTGTACTGATTTAGCACGCCTCTTGTCCCACCCCGACTGTCACTGATCAAAGTATAAATACATCCTGTCACCTTCAACTGCTGGCAGATCCCTCTCAGGGAGTCAGACCCTGCAGTCCACCCACACCCTGTGGACTCACTGCACTTCAAAAGGTTTACTCTGACTTCTTTTTTTTTTTTTTTTTTTTTTTTATCCGACATTTTCATTTGAGCAAAAAAAAAAAAAATCTGAAAATGTCTTTTGAACAACTTTGGGCTCTCTGCTGCGTTCAAGGTCAGTATCACAACAGGTGCTGAGGACGGGCTGAACTGCGTGACCGGGTGGCATTTCAGCAGCCGGCATCTCAACTGGACAATGTGAGGACAAAAACAGGTTTTTACTTCGTGTTTGTTTTATTTGGCATTTAACAAAAAAGAAATACTATTGTCTTATTCTGCAGGACGAAGCAGCTTGAGCTTATTATTTCACATTAACAGGCTGCTATGCTGCATAGTCACTGGAGAAGAGTTGTTTAGTTAAAAATAGCAGGCAGCTGCCTTTTGTTGATGCCTTTACTTCTTATTATAATCTGCCCTCCACTGTTCTCCTTCATAAATATGTCAGAAAAGTCAAATTCCTGCATGATTAGGACGTTAAGAGGTGCATTTTATTTCAGCATTATGGGAAAACAATTTGCATGTGAAAGCGAACAAATAAACTAATGTGGCAGGATAAAAAAAAAAATATATATATATATATATATATATATATTACATTGCATTTATTAAAGGACATAACACGTATAATGTGCTATTGAAACTTAATTTCAAATGTCTAAGGGATGTAAAATCTGCTGGATATGATTAATATGTGGTGGACTGAAGGTTTAAAGTATCCCACAAGATGAAAAGTTTTAAATAGCATTAAGCAAACTTATTTTTCCCCTTTTGTTGTGGCACAGGGTAATTTATTTAGATTTTAATAAATCCCAGTCTTTATACCAACTTACACTTGTTGGCTAAATATAGCCTCAAGCTAAAATTAGCCTTAAATTAGCATCCATCCAACGATTATTTGCAGAATAAATCCAGAAACCGTAAATAAATGAAAATTTTATTAAAGCCAACATTTTTTTTTTTAAATCTGTGCACTTGGGGTCAGCTTAGTTTGTGCAGCTGATCTGCTGTCAGTACGTTTTTAAATGATTATTAACTTGACGCAGGTGTGAGCTTCAGGTGATTAAGAATTGGTTTGATTCACTTATGAGATCATAAAAACATGTTTTCTATGCATAAATACAAGAAATGTATTGCAACGTGTACTTGTATGGGTAAGATGAAGTATACATAATTGGTTAACATGTTCAGCTTGTTGATTTTTATCTTTTAAGTGCTAAAAAAAATTATATTTTTTCCTTTAATTTGAATCACGAGTTCACGCATGGCACTCAGCCTATCTAAATTAAATTAACCTGGCCTTTAAAATCAAAGCAAGTGATAGGAGGGACATTTTATTGTTGAATTGTACTTTTTAGTTTTAAACTCACATCATCTGGTTCTGGACTGTAGATTTACCAGAATGCCCTCTCTCCTCCATGGCATCTGAATACGAGCCAGTGGGCGAACGTCGTGTTTCAGAAGTGAACTCGTCTTTAGCTGCGCAGATAAAAGAGAAATCCCGCCTGAGCTTGTGGTCTGTCTTCATCAGCCTCTAGAGCTCGTCCCCAGTCTTCATCAGCATGGGGATCAAAGCTGCTCTTCCCAAGTATGAGATCTACTCCTACAGCTCTGTGCTGGGTCTGGCTATGTTCTGGGCCGCCAGCTGGATCTTTGAAGTGTCCAGTTGTGAGTATGAGGAAGAACGCACGTATTCTGTTAATTGCGTTTGTTATTCAATGCAACAAAATTAACAAATTTAAAAGGTAACAGATCATTGTAATACTTGGTTTATTTACATAATGATTTTAATTGCCGGATGTTCGGCCCCCTGAGCAGTTTAGTTGAATATCCTGCTTTAGAGGGTGGAATACACTTTATTCCATTTCCAAAACTTAAACTGAGTTTGGAAAATTGTAAAAGATGGATAAAGCCCTGCGGCCGACCTCATGAACAGCTGAATACAACAGTGATAAACAGGAAGTACTATGTTCATGTGTACGAAGGTAACTGCAGGTATGCTTAATGGTTAAATTAAAGGTTAATGCTTAAAGCTACTTGTGCTTTGTTTTGTGTATTTTGTATGTAGGTTTAATCTTTGTTTATAATCAATTAACATTTTGTACAAAGTGTTTATTAGGTTGTGTAATGTAAAGCAGAACGCTACGTCTGTAGCGTCTGTATTACATGTCGCTAGCTTAGCGCTACTTCTTGTTATGCCATTAACTCTAAAATATTTATTGAATCAAGTGTTTACTTATGTAGGTAAATGTAGATGTTTAACTCGTTAAAATACACCAGAATGCAGGAATTGCAGGTCAAGCCAAGAGTCATTGTCAGCACTGCGGGGGCTAAGCACCCCTAAAGGTCAGATTCTAGAATCGCCCCTGTCATGAAACGTGGTTTTAAACGTCACAAATCTACGAGTTTATGTTCAATTTTCTGTACTCGCTCATACTTCAACAAGACGGCATGGTGAGTTTAGAAATTTAATATTAAGCAAAGAACGTCATGAGGTGAGACACTTCCTGCTACAAGAACTTGACAGGAGTAAATGTCTGCTGTAAGGATGAGTCCAATAAGCTCACAGTTGTTAAAACCATCGTCAGACTGACACCAGTCACTGGAATGGTATCAGCAGGACTGGACCCAATAAGACGCTGCAGCTTTTCATAAACGTGCATCGTGAGAATCTCGTTTTGTATTCACCGTAAAGAGAATACAATTGTTTTGATGCAAGTTTTAATCTTGGCTTCAGATTTGCTTGAGAAATTTGCAACCATTTATTCGTATAACTTTTTTAAATTGTCTTGCTGTTCTGCTTTCAGCCAACGTAAACAGAAAAACGTTTAAAACCAGTGTGAAGCCTGGATACTTCGGAAGGAAAATGGTAAACAAAAGATGATTTTAGAAATGTGTAATAATTGTAAAAACTGATTTTATTTGTATTGTTTTCCTTCCTGGCTGACAGGATACTGCTGATTTTGAGTGGATGATGTGGTTCTCCACCTACAGAGCACACATCATCTTTGCTCTGTCTGGACATGTGCTGTTCACCAAGATCTGCTCCATGCTCGCTCCACAGGTGCATCTACCGACTGAATGTTTTCAGTGAGCTGTTGCGTGAGATTTGGCGCAATATATCTGCCACTACGGTTAATGATGCGAGCCATTTTCACAGCACAGGTCCTTGGTTTACATGGTGTATGGTGTTCTGGCTGTGTGGACCAGCATGGGGTGGACCTACATCACCCTCATGCTGTCCCACTGCATCCTGCTCTACAGCATCTCCTTGGTGAAAATTCCCTGGCTCTGCTACGTCACAGGTCTTTGTACCCTCGCCACGTTCAGATGTGAACCCTTCGTGTCCTGGCAGGTAAGACACTTTCTACTTTTCTGCTCCACCGTGGAGGATTTTCCTCTGATGTTTTCAGCGTCTGTTCTCCACACAGGCAGGGTTTGTGGAGGGAGACTTTGAGCTGCGCCACGTTCTTTTCTACGGAGGCTGTGGGTTTACGATCATGCGCTGCATGAGCTTTGCTTTGGAGAACTGTGAACGAAAAGATGGCCACTACAACGTCCTCGAGCTTCTCAAGTACAACTTCTACCTCCCTTTCTTCTATTTTGGGCCCATCATGACATTTGACAAGTTTTACGCTCAGGTATGGGGACCAAGTTACTTTAATTAATTAATCCCAGCTGTTCTGGTGAAGACGCTCAGTCATCCAGGTCATGATCAATAAACAAAACAACTGGAACTCTATTCTGAAGACGCTTCGCTTCCCAGTACATAAGACAATAACGAGGCCTCTCATGCAGTTCTATTAAGATTAGAGCGCCACACACTCCGGACATTTTTAAATTAATAACGCCTCCCGGATGGTAAAACAGCTTCAGAATCGAAGTCCAGTTGTTTTAGTTTCTTAACGTTTTTTTTTTTTTTTGGAATCCCAACTATTCATGAAAATAATTGTATGTTGTTTCTAAAAGGTGCAAATTCTTTGTTTCTGTTTTTGTATGGGAATTGTATTTTAGCAAGTTGCCCCTATTAAAGTGAAATGAATAAGTAGTTGCAAATTAAGTTGCATAAAAAGTAAATGTAATGTTGTTTGCAGTGTTCATCTCATATTTATCAATCAATACTGTGAGCACGATAGAAAACATTAAGAATAAGTGAACTGGAAGGTACAATTTGAGATGTAATTTAACATTCTGTGTTACCGTATTTTTCGGACTATAAGGCGCAATTAAAATCCTTAAATTTTCTCAAAAATCAACAGTGAGCCTTATGATCAGGTGCACCGTTTGTATTAATTCTAGTTGTGCTTAGTGACCTTGAACTGACTTTGTGGTTATTGTGAATGAGTTGAATAAAATTTGACTGTTTTACTTAATGCGCCTCATAATCCAGTGCACCTTATGTATGAAAACAGACCTGTTCATTGATATTGTGCCTTGTAGTCCGAAAAATACGGTATTGTAAAATTAGACTATATGAATAACGTGCATCTGCATATCCATAAATATATAAAATGCTCTTGAGAGTGAAGTTTGTTTCTTGTTGTGAGTTTGCTGTCCTCTGCAGGCCAATAAGTCCAACCTGACCCGAAAAGAAAGGGAGCTGTGGAATATCAGCCTGCAGGGCCTGGTCCATTTGGGACTCATCATCGTAGTGGACGTCTTTTTCCACTTCATGTACATCCTCACCCTCCCGACTGACATGAAGCTGCTGAAGCGCCTCTCTGACTGGGCTCTGGGTATGTTTGAACAGCGTCAGTGGTTTGTGACACGTCAAAGGTGTGGAAGTTGACTTGATGTACTTGCATCGTTTCCAGTTGGTCTGGCTTACTTTAACCTCGTCTATGATTGGGTCAAAGCAGCCGTCATGTTTGGAGTCATCAACACGGTGGCCAGGTTGGATCACCTGGACCCCCCCAAACCACCAAAATGCATCACCATGCTTTATGTGTTTTCTGAAACGTGAGTGAAGTTTGAAAATCTGGATCTCTTTTGGTTAAAGTCTCGGATTAATCCTTTTTTTTTTTTTTCCTTTAAAGGCATTTTGACAGAGGAATTAACGAGTGGCTGCTCAAGTGAGTGTCGCAGTGAATTTTTCACATGAAAGTCTCATTAAGGTGGAGATTCTGATTGGTCTGTGCTTTTAGGTATGTTTATAACTACCTGGGTGGAAAGCATGAGAATGTGTTGGAGGAGCTGGCGGCGACACTTTGCACCTACGGTGTCACCATCCTCTGGTTGGGACCCTGCAAGGCGGTCCTGCTCTGGGCTTCCTTCAACTGTTTTGGGCTCAACTTTGAGCTGTGGACGGCCAAATTCTTTTCCCTGGAGCCTTTTGCCTCTTCTGAGGTTTGTTAATGGAGATTACTTTAGTGTTTTTGTAAATTATACTTGCGTAAAAAATTTTTATTTACAGGTGGAAATGTCAGAGGCGATGTCCCGCCGCATAAGAGCCATCTTCAACACTTTCAACTTCTGGTGCATTGTGTTGTACAACTCAGTGGCTTTGAACAGTTTGGACTTTGCCAAGCTGGTCGCCAAACGACTCCTCCTCAAAGGTGACTTTCAGTTTTGCACAATGAAGAGTTTTTCTTTCTAGCTTTACACAAACTGTCGTTCCTCCACAGGCTTCCCTGTAACCACCATGGTCGTTCTGTTCGTGACCTACTGCCTGGTCCAAGTGATCAAAGAGCGAGAGAGGAGACAGGCCCTCGCTGATGAGCCCGATCCTTTTCCTCCAAATGCTGCAACCAGCCCGCCCACTTCTGCAGCTGCACCCGCCGCTGTGCAGCCAGACGCAGAAACCAACAAACAAAAAGCAGAGTAGATTTTGGACTTTTTAAAAACGGGTTTAGAAAATTTAAGGTGTGGGGGCAAACAGTTATAGCCTAATTAGCTTTTATAAAAATCGTTTTCACGAACTTGAATTGTAAATAAATTAACAATATTTATGCCTAAACGATAGTTTGCACCTTTAAACATGTATTGAATATATAGTACGTCTGCTTACCGCCCTGGTGCCAACTTAAAGGATTTTAACTCCGTTGTGATTTCTTTGACACTTGATCTTAATCCACTGCAATAAATGTGTTCAAATTGTTAATTGATAGAAAAAGACCAATTTTGCTTAAAGGGAGGAATAAACTTTGATTCACACTCAACAACTTGCTGTGGAGACGTCTCATCAGAAGTTGTTGGCTATGAAGCGTTTCTTATTTTTGGTTCATTTAAGAAATATCAGCATTCATTGTGTTTTACCTCAGCTTTCAGCCATGCTGTTTCACAGCTTTGAGGCCTTGGATTTTTTGCAGCTAAAAGCAATGTGCAGAGGTGATTCTGTTGCTGCAAACATTTTATGCTCAATTTTCCACCTTTTCTGTAGATTAAATCCTGGATTAAACAAAAATTCTCAAAAACTTAGATTGCAGCAGTTATTAGTAGTGGATGCAAGGACCAGCTTCTTGTGGGGGGGAAAAAACAACTGAGATGGATGCATCAGTGTAAAAAATGTTGATTTTAGCACCTATCATTCAGATTAAATTACTGTAAATTACTGTCCTGATGCATGCTCAATAATCCAGTTAGATACATCTAACAAGGTTAAGTCAGATCATCTGGACGAATTCGTCTTCCTTGAAATTCCTCTTTTATCCAAAAGACTTCTTCAGTCAGAAGCGCTGCAACAAACTCAGTCTTAAGTCTTTTGGATAAAAGATGAATCATTTCAACCAAGAAGAATCCATCCAGATGACTTTGACTTAACCTTGTTGTAAATGACTGTTTCCTTACTGGCTAGGAGGAAATATATTTCACTTAGTAGAAAATCTGAAAATTATTAACTCTCTATTAAAATATCTACAACATTGTCTCTGGTTCAGGAATGGCTTGACTTGAGGAATGTGACATGTCAATGATTAATGCGCATGGTGTGCATACGTTTCCAATGTGGAACTTTATCACAATATTCTAATTTTCGTAGACACTGAATCTAGTTTTTTCATCATCTGTAAGCCATAATCATCAAAATTACAAGAAATAAAGACTTGAAATAATTCACTCTATGTGTAATGAATCTACTGGTATATAATATGCGAGTTTCACTCTCTGAAGTGACGGAAAAACAAAATAATGAACTTTTTCACACAGTATATTCCAAATTTTTGAGATGCATCTACAAGTGACTATGATAAGTGCCAGCTCAAAGTAAAACACTTAAAATTGCAATTGATAATTTTTTTCCACCGGACGACAGGGTCCAGGAGAACCCTCATGTTCTGAAGGGAAACACGCAGCTGGATCTGTCTATGGACAACTCACCGCCTTTGCTGACCTCTATGCATAAATGTATTGTGATGTCATTGTATGTTGCTGTTTTATGTTGTGAGGTCTTTTTTTTGCATCTTTTACACTGCGCCCTGGCCAGGACATGGTGTGAGACATGATTATTTTTTGGCTTCCTCCACCCTCGTGTTCTCTTGTCCTCATCTGCTCTGTATGCTATATAACAGGTCTCTCTTGTAAATGAGTCTTCGAGGCTCAATGGGAACTACCCTATATAAATAAAGGTCTAATAATATTTAATAAAAATCTAAAAAAGTCAAAAGGTTATGATCAACATCTTTCCAGTTGTAGACAGACTTGTAAAACTGGTCTGGATTAAACTATTTATCCAAAATGAGGTTGCGCACTATCTACAACGAAAATGTGTTAAAGATAGCTCACATCCTCAGTATGGATAAATAGTTTAATCCTGACCAGATTTACGAGTGTTCAGAAAGCTGCCTACAACAGGTAAGATGTTGATTAATCCCAATTTGTCCACTAAATCTCATTTTAAACAATCTATAATTTTTACAGAAAATCTGTTATCCCAAAATGAAATCAAAAATAAATATAGAAAATAAGGAGCATGTATATTGTTTACAGTAGATTTTAATTTGTAGCACCAAACAAACCAAGAAAAACGACTGCGCTGAGCAGGAAGCTGAGACGAGTCAGTGACAAAGACCAGGGCCGGTCCAAGCATCTATGGGGCCCTAAGCGAAATTTGGTTTGGGGCCCTCTATTTCTGCTAATAATGTGGATTACTGCAATCAACAGTCAGATGATCAGATCAATCACCCACCTAACATTAACTCATAGCAACTCTGACAGCCCTGTTTACATTAACCTATATGTATAGATCAGTGGTACTAAACGTAACAAAATAAAAAAAACACCAGTATGCAATGTATTTTACAGCAAAAGTGTCATCTGGTTTATTATCTTTGGTTCCAAAGAACTGTAACATTAATGTTCAAAACAATTTGTAGTGCAAGATCAACAACAAACAACAGATACAATAACTTAGATGCATAAAAATAAATTAAATTGTGCAAATACAGACAAAATTAAATAAAATACAATATGAAGGGAATAATGTAAATGAACAATTACTTGAAACCACGTAAAATGGTTTAATTTTTTTGTAAAGTTGAATGATTTGTTCTTAAAATTATGTAAATGTATGCAATAATTTGAAAAAGCTGAACTTAAAATATTAAATAGAATCATATAGAAATCATTACAAAAAAAAAATAAATTCAATTCCACTTAGGGGGCCCCCTAGTGGCCCCGGGGCCTTAAGCAGTTGCTTAGTTTGATTATGCCTTGGGCCGGCCCTGACAAAGACTAACAGACTTCGCTCTGACTCATGCTGGAGATGTTTCCAGTGAACCAGTGTGTCAGCTGTTGGAGTGTGGGGACATGCTCACTGGGAAAACAGGACAGAGATGCTCCTATTGCATTTCAGCATGCCAGAATAAAGCCCACAGCTCTACAACGAGCTCCTGGTCCGAAAATAACCTTCCAGTTGGAGCTCAGTTGAAGGTTCAGGACAGCTGAGGAAGTGGGCTGTCCCTGGATTCAGCTGGCGAACACACGCTGCACTTTTAAATCCACTTTCCAGACTAGAAACTGCTATAAAGACGACCCACTTTTGTTAGGTGTGCAGGCTGGTGAAGACTCGTCAGACTTCTTCTTTTAAAAAAACAAAATGGCCCTGCCTGTAAACCCCATGGATGAGCCCAGGATGTACCAGCAGACTCTGCTCCAGGACGGCCTCTACGACTTGTTGGAGAACGACAAGCTGGTTGACTGTGTGTTAAAGATCAAAGACAAGGAGTTCCCCTGCCATCGTCTGGTGCTGTGTGCCTGCAGCTCGTACTTCCGCACCATCTTTCTGTCGGACCTGGAAGAGAGCAAAAAGAGAGAAATTGTGCTGGAGGACGTGGAGCCCGGCGTCATGGGCCTGATCCTGAAGTATCTGTACACCTCCATCATCAATGTGACAGAGCAGAACGTCCAGGACATCTTTGCTGTTGCTAACATGTTCCAGATTCCTTCCATTTTCACAGTTTGTGTGTCTTTTCTGCAAAAACGCCTGAGCCTAAGCAACTGTCTGGCCGTCTTCAGGCTCGGCTTGATGCTGGACTGTCCCAGGTTGGCCGTCTCCGCCCGAAACTACGCCTGCGAGCGCTTCCAGCTGATCTCCAGAGACGAGGACTTCCTCCAGCTGCACCCCAGTGAGTTGGCAGCCATTTTAACAAACGACAAACTGAACGTGGAGTCAGAGGAGGCCGTATTTGAGGCCTTGATGAACTGGGTGACCCGGGACACTGAGAACAGATTGAAAGAGCTCCCAGACTTGCTTGACTGTGTTCGTTTGCTTCTCGTCACTGACGATTATCTGAAAGAGAACGTGGAGAAACACAAACTGATCTCGTCCAGTCCAGAGCTGCAGGAGAAACTCCAGCTGGTTAGGGATGCTCGTGCTGGCAAAATGCCAGAGATTAAAAAAGAAAAAGACAAGAAGGAGACCAGTGGAGCAGACAAAGATGGAGACAACGAGGAGGAGGAGGAGGGTCTTTTACCGGCTATTCTCAATGACAACCTGCGATTTGGGATGTTTGTCAGGAACTTGATGCTGATGGTGAACGATGCAGGCGCTGTGGCCTACGACCCATCGGGGAACGACTGCTTTGTGGCAACACTCTCCACACAGGTCCCCAAGAACCACTCCAGCCTGGTGACTAGGGAGAACCAGATCTTTGTGGTGGGAGGATTATTTGTTGATGAAGAGAACAAGGAGAATCCACTGTGCTCCTACTTCCTGCAGGTAAGAAAAGAGCTTCACAAAGAGGAGACGGTGACAAATATAAGACCTTAAGGTCAGGTCAGTGTTTTTAAAATTACCGTAATTTCCGGACTATAAAGTGCACCTGAAAATATTTTGCTTCCATTTGAAAACGACGCTCGGTGAGCGAAACTTTGTAATCTGTTAGCACATCAACATCAGATTATTATCTATATCAGGATTTGAACCTGCTTACAGTAAGGTGGTACGCTCCAGCTCTCTGAAGGTAAGGAGCATTTAGCTTCGGATTGATCATTTTGCTGACACGCCTACTGGATTGATTGACAGGTCATGTTGTGGATCCGACTTGTAGAAAAAAAAAGACAGCTGTAAAAAAAAAAAAAAAAAAAGACTCGTACGACTTTATTCTCGTAATTCTATGCCTTATAATTTTTTTTCTTAGCGTGGCAATGTGACCGTCAGGCAACCACAATAGAATGATACAATGCGTACCGGTAACACACAAATACCAGTGGTGTATTCTACATTTTCGTAGTGAGTGTACTGTGCTTAGAAACCAAAGCACACCGGTAGTACGACGTAATCGTTAAATTATTTTAATTTTGAAACATATTGAACATTTCAAAATTTCTCTAATGCTTTTATTTGAGTAAATGTACAGCAAACTTTGTACAAGTTGGCTTTGTATTAAAAACATGTTAAAGAATAAAAAAAAAACGTATCAAAGCAAAACATGTTCAAGTATTAAGTACAGAAGTATTAATTATACAAAAAAAACCATGTTGAACCAACTCACTGTGTCTATAAAATATTCCAAATGTGTTGACAGTGATACTCGTGACATTGGGCACTTTTAAGTGGTTATACTGAAATTTCCAAGCTAGAGGGTATACCCACGTATCGCATAATAGATTACACCACTGACAAATACATACAGTCAATGTTTTTTTTTCTGAACAGTGCCGGTAATATGGCTGGTAAAAAAAAAAAAACAGTAGCCTACAATTGATCTTCATCCTGCACAAGCTGTTCTCCTGCTCTGCGAAGCAAAAGTTGCTCTGTGAGCATGTGAGACTCACATGCTCCGAGTATGCAGAGGAATCTACCCTCATGGGGAGGGAGGATTTTTCTCCCCATTCTCTCCTCCCCTTCCCGTTTCATTGATTCAACTGTGACCTGTTTGGTAATTTCAATGGTCAGTTTTTTTTTTTTTTTTACCTTTATTTATACAGATAGTCTCACTGAGTCACAAGGACCCACCCCCCAAAAGAGGCGTGTATTGGGCAGCTATGTGAGCATCCAGGTGTGATGAAGATAAATGTTTTTGGTGGCAGGAAGCTTGTTACCCAGTCAAAAAAAAATAATCCATAAATTAGCTGCAGCATTGAATAAACTATGAAAAAAGTAGCGGTTTATAGACCGGAAATTACGGTAGCTTAAAGAACATTATACTGTAGCAGATCATATCCAACATGTTGCCTTTTCATCTCGTGACCTCAGTATGACCCAGTTAGTGCTGACTGGCTCGGGATGCCTCCGCTCCCGTCTCCCCGGTACCTGTTTGGACTGGCCGAAGCTGAGAACTCCATCTTTGTGCTGGGAGGGAAGGAGATGAAGGATCAGGAGCGAACACTGGATTCGGTTTTGATCTACGACAGACAGTGAGTTCGGAGTGTGAAAAATAAAAAAAAGATTTAGGAAACAGAATTTAGAAAATGAATTTAATTTCTCACGATGGATTTCAAATTGATTTGTTCTTGTGGTTTATTGTTCACAGATCCTTTAAGTGGGGGGAGTCTGAGTCAGTACCTTACGCAGTCTATGGGCATGCAACAGTTTCACACAATGACGTGGTGTATGTGATTGGCGGGAAGGGAGACAGCAAGTGAGTAAACGCCTCAAACTTTAGGATCTGTTCGTGAAGAATGTGCAAATTCACGTTTTTTTTTTTTTTTAGTTCAATCTAGAAACATATTGTTCAAAAAGTACATGATGTGAGATTAAAGATTTAGGAAAACTGAACGTTTCTGTCGTGTGGTTCTTTAAAAGGAGCTGTCTGAAGAAGATGTGTGCTTACGATGCTAAGAGGTTTGAATGGAAGGAGCTGGCTCCCATGAAGACTGCACGCTCCCTGTTTGGAGCCACCGTTCTTGATGACAAAATCTATGTTGCAGCAGGAGTGACGGACGACGGCCTGACAGACTCTGTGGAGGTGTACAACATTGCAACAAACAAGTGAGCTCACCTGACTGATGAATTTACTCATTCCATGTTTTATTCCCATTGCACTTTCCTTCTGTGATGGTCCAGTCACAGTGGGACCTCATTGTAGACATATTCACCGTTTTCTGTTCTCTTAAAGTGAAGTCAACTTACTTTTTGACAGAAACAGAACTTGTTGCTGCTTGGTTTTACTTTAAAGCTCAGCAGTGGCGATAAATCAGCTGCTTAACTAACTAAAACAGGAAAACCAAAGTAGTATATGAAGCTAAACTATGTTTTCATGCAGATGGTCAGACTTTGAGCCGTTTCCTCAGGAGCGCAGCTCTCTGAATCTTGTAGCTTTGGCTGGTTCCCTCTACGCTGTGGGAGGATTCGCCATGATGCCTTTGGAGGACAGCGACGAGAGCCTTCCCAAGGAGATGAACGACATTTGGAGGTACTTTACAACAACAGGCAGGATTATTGAGAGAATTAACAGATTTTCCTGCAAAGAAAGCAAAGACGAAAACCAAAATTCCTGTCTTTGTCGATCAGGTTTTCATTGATTTCAGTCAAAAAGCGAATTAAAAATTTAACAAAGGCTGAAAAGTCAATTAAAAATATAATTGAACCTCTTCAGGTACATCGAGACGGAGAAGAAGTGGAAAGGGGTCCTCAGAGAGATCCAGTATGCATCTGGAGCCACGGTTTTGGGGGTCCGACTGAACACCCTGCACCTCACTAAGATGTGAAGCTGCCTCCTATCCCCGTTTGTCCACTGGGATTTGGATTACTGGTGGCACAGCACCGCTCTATGTGCTCGACCAGATCATTTTCCAAATGTTTAAATCCTCTGCTTTGTATTTTAACATAAGCATTGCAACTTTATACTAAGGACATTTTATTGTCTGTTATCACTTTTTATATGAATGTGTTTATGCAATTAATAAACCGGGACAGTAAAACAAAAGAGACGTCAACATTTTTGCACTGAACTAAATAAAAGCTTTAATTTAAAAGAATGCCTTGACCTCGCTTGGATAAGAGTGCATTTCCCAATAGATGGCAGCGATGTCAAAGTCATAACAGGATGGAACAAGTTTAAAAAAAAAAGAGCATTTATAAATAAAAAACACATGCACATTTTCAATATATGTATAATGTTTAATATTGAAATGATCTCTTTATGTCCTAGTGTGTTACAGACTGTTACCACTGATCAATAATACAATAAAAGACAAAAATACAACCTAATGTTATTAGCACCTCTAGACACTACTGTCCTTGTTTTAGTCATTTATTACAGCTGAATGTAAGACTATAGTTGGGCTTTGTATAGCAGAAATAACCACTACATACTGTGGTGTTTAGATTATAGACAAGAGAATCAGCAAAGAACAATTTACATCAGGATTTTTGACAGTGTGCGAAACGTAATGAAGGGCATTTGTGGAATTGACAATGGCACCATGACAGTTATTATTATCAGCTGTGTTTGTCAAAAAGGAGATAAGATTTAAAAAAATCATATTTTTAGTAGTAAGAAGCATTTTAAGGTTTCACATGATAAATTAACAATATTTATGTATCTGGTTTGAATAAATGTATGGAGCTCCAATATAACAAACTATAATTTATTCAGGAAAAAAAAATCAAATGTGTATTAATTTCATTTTCTAAGGTAAAAAGTGTAATCATTTATTTATTTTTTTTGCAAGAGTAGGAAGTTTGATTTAAGCATAAAACAAAAGAGTAAACTGAACCCCTGACTACTGTATTTTTTGCAGTATAAGTCACACCTTTTTCCAAACTTGCAATTCCTACGACTTATACACTGAAGCGACTAATATACCCCCCCCCATATTTATAAATACATTTTTGGCTGAGATCTGACGATTTCTTTCATTCTGACATGGAAAATATTGAACACTACCATTTTCAGCCACTAGAGGGCCCTTGACCAATATGGCAAGCCAAGTGTCTCATTAATAAGTAAAAGTGGCTATTAATGAGACACTTGGCTTGCCATACTAAGCCACCATTGTCTCGCTCCAGAACTCCTGAAGCCAACGTCAAATCGAGGCAAAATGCAGCTGTTTCGACCATTAAAGTGCATTTAGTAAGAAAAGTTAAAATGAGACACACCTTTACTATAATGTTGAGCAAACAAATAATTGTTTTTAGGTGGTTATCTTGTTAAGTTTCAACGGAATGCAGAGTCCTCCCTCTCCGCACTCCCGCTTCTGCAAATAGATTTTTAAAATGCAGCTGATTTGACCAGTATAGTGCATTTATTAAGGAGAAGTTCAACTGAGACACAGCTATAATGTCGAGCAAACAAATAATTGTTATTAAGTGTTAATCTTGTTAAATTCTTGTTAAAGTCCTCCTATGCACGCTCCCGCGGCCGCCATTTGGCAGCCAGTCGATTTTTGGCACAACACCGGCCCACGTTTCTGGGTTGTCAGCGGATGTAAATGCGACACGTCAGCGGTGACGCATAATAGATGCGACTTATTTATGTTTTTTCCCCACTTCATTAGACATATTTGGACTGATGTGACTTATATGGCGGTGCTACGTGTACGGGGGAAAATACGGGACTTTATTGGTTTTAAACAATTTTTTTATTCTTTGAAACATGTTTAGCTTGTTCTAACTTAAGAATATATTTTCATCTTCCTCTCAAGCGTCAACATTATCAACACTTGATTAAAGTTTAATGGCTGTTAACGGAGTGAAACAGATGGAGAAAGATGAGGAAAAACGGCTCCATTGTTGTTGTGGGTTTTAGCGCAGAGGATGCAGAAAAGTCTGCTAATTTTTTTTTCTTTCAGTTTTTGGATTTAAAAATCGCTACTTTGCAAAATGTTCAAAGAAAATCTCAGCTGTCTCACTAAAAGCATTGTTTGTGCAAAGATAGGGGGCGCAAACAGCAAGAAATGTCAGTTTAGATCATATTTGAGATAGCGTGAAGCAGACCTTTATGAATTTCATTCATAAAGTTTTACATGTCTCTTTTGATTGGTTAAATTCCTAAGATGGAAAAGTTCAGTTTTATACTTTGTTCTTTTAAGCTGATGTGAGAATGAACATCATTCCAAGTTATTTTCTGAAATCTTGTTTGCATGGACGTAATGTACGTTCAGTACTTCTCAAAATATAAAATTATATACAGAAGATCAACTATGATAATTCAGTTAATTTATAATTATCAAATGATTAAAATACAATTTGCAGCACGGTGGCGCAACTGGTAGAGCTGCTGCCTCTCAGCGAGCAGGTCCCTGGTTCAAACCCCGGTCCAGGGGCCTTTCTGGGTGGAGTTTGCATGTTCTCTCCGTGCATGCGTGGGTTTTCTCCGGGTACTCTGGTTTCCTCCCACAGTCCAAAAACATGCATGTTAGGCTGATTGGTAACTCTAAATTGTCCCTAGGTGTGAGTGAGAGAGGGAATGTTTGTTTGTCTCGTTTGTCTCTATGTGGCCCTGTGATGGACTTGCGACCCGTCCAGGGTGTACCCCGCCCCTCGCACAGTGATTGCTGGACATGGGCACCAGCGACCCCCGTGACCCAAAATGGAATAAGCGGGTAAAGAAAATGGATGGATGGATGGATAAAATACAATTTATTTATTTATTCAATATCTGAGGTTGGAATTTCTTTTTTAAAAATTATTATTAAAAAAACATGCTAATTTCTGCATTTTGATTAATTTAGTAATGTTTGTCAGTTTTGGCACTCCATAACTTTAATCAAACCAGCCAAAAACAAAAATATGCATACAAAACAATGGAGCTGTTTGTTTTGTGATGGCACATTTCCAATAATTAAGAGTGAAGGCCACAAGATGACATATTTTGGACACACATTTATGTTTTAGCAGCTAAACCCCAAACAACACAATAAAATACTTGATCCTACAAACCCTCACTTCTGAAAATGCCATTCTCAAAAACCTCACATCCTCTCTCCTGCCTTTAACTCTAAATGTCAGTCTCAGCTAATTTTTGAGACTGACTTTTAGGATTAAAGGATGCACTTGGAACAAAAATGGACCTTTTGCAGCAACTTTTTTTGGCATCCCCGAGGTCTAAACAGGAAGGGAAACACGACTCGCGCAATGTACACAACATTTAAGTAACTGTACATTTAATCCTCATGACACAGAAATAAAACATGACAGTAAATTATAACAAAACAAAGTCACATATATTTAAACAGTGAGTACAGTCTGTGGGTGTCTTGGTGCCCACCAAACTACCAAAAAAAAAAAAAAAGCATTCAAGGAAAGATATGACCACCTACTAAAAGCCTTTGGCTGTTAGCTTCCATAAGGAATAATTTGGCTATTAATTATAAAACAAAAACATTACAAGACTCTTTCTACAAGATTTCTCGTCTCACTGTAGAAATTCAACATTACCGTCTTTCAACGTTAAAGCTGAATTGAAGAAGATAAAAACAAATTGATTTCTTCTTAGGATTTGGCGGATCATAAAGATCTGAACATGTTTTATTTATTCTTAGCACGAACCAGAATTAATTTGACGATGCTTAAAAAGTTTTGTTTTTGAGCTTAAGAACAAATTCTGTTTTCTACAGCAAGTGTCCAGCAATCTTCTAACTTTGTATTTATATATATATATTCCAAGTGGATTTGCTAAAAAAGCTTTTTATGTTTGACGGAAAACATTTTTGTTAGAAAGTGTATTCAGATCTGACATACACTCAAACACGCTGGGTTTTTTTTTTGTTTTATTTTTTGGAAAAACGTCACTTTTTCAAACCCTATTTGGAAATTAAAGTGCTCTTTTAATGGAATTAAACTCCCATCATACAAAGTGGCAAGTAACATTGTAAAAACTAACGTCACATATTGAGTGTGGGACAAAATGAAGCAGTTCTAACTGTGCAAGAGGCCTCAAAACGCGAAACAACGTCCAGGATCTGATCCAGGATCTGCTCCGACACCCAACAACTAAACCAGCATCAAGTGTTGCTCATCGGTGCCAGTTTATTCCTGTCAGCTGCACAACCTAAACAGGCTCCATTTTTTCAATAAAACTTGAAAAGGACAATTTCCCACTAGTCCTTATTTATTATCACCATACGTGTGCCTGTGATTGGCTGAGTGTGATAAAATAAAATTCAATGTGCATAAATCAGTAGTGCTCACCATGATTTCTCCCTTTACAATCAGCTGCTATCACTATCCATGCAACAAAGTCTCACGAACCCTGCGCTTGTAAGGCAAATACACAAACCACAGTAATGTCTTAGAACAGTGCTGCGTAATAAAGAAGGTAAAACTTTTAAGGTAAAATGTTATTTTACAGTAACAGTTTGAGCCAATTAATGAATTGTAATGTTTTGTTTGAAGCACAGTTCTCTTTCTTTTCACTTCTTAACAGTCAAATGCCACAAAATGGCAATAACATTTTAGGAAATGCAACTTTTTTTTTAAAGAGTATATAATCCTTTAGTTTTGTTCTCTTTCGCACATTTTACTTTAGGCGCAATCTAATTTCAACTCTTATTTGAGTTTCTGGCACCACTTTACAATAAGGCTCCCCTTATAGATGGTTAATAAATAGTAGATACACTATTAGTTCCTCTATAAACACTTTATAAATCATTAATAACTGCTTATTATGCATTAATTAAGGGTGACGGAGAGACAAAACTGACCCGTTTCTTGCCAAATCTGTTCACTTATACATTTAATCTAGAGTTGTTATAGTGAACATTTCAGACTAAGTTACTACCTTGTAAGCACAATAAGAATTTGTAAACCTATTTTTTTTTTAGCATATATTAGTTGTAAATACTTGTGCAATATTATATGCTAAAAAAATAGGTTTACAAATGCTTATTGTGCTTACAAGGTAGAAACTTAGTCTGAAATGTTTAATATAAGAACTAACTCTAGATGAAATATACAGGTGAACACATTTGGCTCACAGATTTGTCTCTCTGTCACCCTTAATTAATGCATAATAAGCAGTTATTAATGATTTAAAAAGTTCTTATAGAGGAATTAATAACATATTTATAAACTATTTATTAGTTATCTATATGGGGAGCCTTATTGTAAAGTGGTACCAAGTTTCCTTTGATTTTCAGAATGTGGGAAATTATTTCTACAAATAAATATAGCTTTGATAAATGTTTAACTCCCTTTAAATCAATGCTCACTTAAGGTTGAGTCAGGTCCTCTGGATGGGTCGAGCCGTCCAGAGGAGCTGACTCAACCTTTCTAGATTTATCTGGATTATTCAGCATGCATCAGGACACTGGAGCTCACTGTTCACTGATGCTAAACCAGATTGAGTCACACTCGGAATATAATTCAACAACTACATAATTTAATTTGAAAGCCAGTCTCAGACAGGGCTGTGCACAAACGCTGCAAATCAAAACTAAAATACAATAAAATGTGTTTTACACATGACTTTAAAGATTATAAAAAAAAAAAAAAACTAATGTACGTACCATTATCCTGTTATTAAATAGTGTTTGATAAGGCCCTTACAGTTTACACATAGTGTTTAAAATACACAGATCTGGGGTCAGATATTGGTCTGCATTAAAGGTGCTCAAATAACCTCTGAAATAAAAACTACATAACACTTGTTACATTTACAAAAGCCTTCAGGAATTTCAAATTTCCATAGTACCATCTGGGAAGCATGTGGGAACTTCTTGTGTTAAAAAAAACAAACAAACAAACAAACAAACAAACAAACAAACAAACAAACAAACAAACAAGAAATACATTAAGACATCTGAACAGCTTATACAGATTATGTAACAGTGGACTGCAGTTTATAAAGATAAAGTGAAGGGGAGCGCATTAATAGTGCAGAGGAACGAAATACATTTGGAACTCTTATTTGCATTTATGCTGCACACGCACGCACGCACACACACACACACACACACACACACACACACACTTAAATCATCAATAAGCGGTTACTGTACTTTAGATAAAAAGAGCAATGGTGACTGCTTTCTTGTTTGTCTTTGCTGTTCAGGCTTTTTTTTTAACTTATTTTTAAGTTTAAACACTGGGTATTTGTCAGAAATGCCCTATTAGCTGAATATAACATGTCATGTAACATTAAGAAATAAATGAAAAAAGAAAACATTAGTATTTATAAATGCATCTAGCCAAAAATTGAGCCTAATGTAATGAAAGTTTCATTCAGATGTAATGAATCATTTATAAAGTATTTATGAAGATAGGGAGTGGTGCAGGAGGTTTGGTCTTTAAAACAGATAATGTTCAGTTAAAAAATAAGCTGTTTGTAACAAAAAGAATAACATTAAGATTCAGTATTTAGTGCAACTATACTGTAGATTTGAGTAGATGACATTACTAAAAGTCTATTATTAGCCAGAATCAATCAATATATAAAGAAAACCATGTCATCTTATGTCATAAGGTCTCAGAAATTGGTTTCTCAGATCACATCATTGGTTGGTTCTCTAATTATCTCTCAGATTGGAGGCAAGGTGTTCAACATAACGGTACTTCTTCCAGCTATCTGTCAACAATGGTGTACCACAAGGCTCAGTCTTAGGACCCACCCTCTTTACAGTCTACATAAGTAATGTAGGTCAGATGTATCCTTACATTTCTATGCTGACGACACAGTTGTTTATTGTCGAGCTAAAACAGTTCCAAAATCTTTTTTTCATTTGCGTTGTCTGTACCTCATCTGTGTTCTTTCTTTAAAACAGGTCTCTCTTGTAAATGAGTCCTCGCGACTCAATGAGACTAACCTGTATAAACAAAAGTTGAATTACAAAATAGTTACATTTTCTTGACCTATGGAAGATCAAGTGAGAGTTTGCTGATCTGATGATAACTAGTTTCAGTTTCTGCTCCGTAACTCACTCAGAACTAGCAACACAAACTGCGTTTTTCATCCACACGTCACAACTTCTCCTAAAAACTGACGCCACGTGCTACAAATGACGCACAATTACAATTATATTAAAACAAAACAGTTTAAGAGTACATTTTAAATATCAGTGGGGTTAAATATAAGGTGCAGGGTTGAATATAAATGCTGTTTTACATCATTTAACTTGGACAGGTTTAGTTATAGGCCACAAACATGTAGGTGTTTGAAATCAAACCAGCGTTTGGTTATTGCTGCGACAAACCGTAACTGCTCGCTACATTTTGGCAGAAAACGTACAAATAAAATTTATTCACATCCTTATTTCTGTACAACTCAGAAAATTCTTGCTCCTATTTTGAAGAGGACGCTACAATCTTTTCTTTGTGCAAAAGTCCAAGTCGATGTTTGAATTTTTGGGAAACCTCACCCAAACCCAGGACAGAACTGGTTCTACTGGGCTTGAAGGTTCTCTATTGTATTCATATGAGTAAAAGAACTAAATGTGTACATGTCTCTGTGTTTTTTAGTTCTTCCCTCTGTGTTTGTGTCACTGAGGTGCATCTCCCACTGAGTCCTGTTTCAAACAAACTAAATGAAAAGTAACAAAGTGCTTCAAATGCTACAGAGATTTGTTAGTTATTAGAGTTCATCCTACCAGCAGAGAACAAGGGAGGAGGTGGGGGTAAATGTGAGGCAGGAGGCAGCCCCCCCATGGAGTGCAGTAGGGGGAGAGACAGTTGGTTGGTGTGGAGGAGCTGGGGGCTGGAGGCAGAGGTCGGCTTGACCAGCTGGACCTGAGCAGAGGGGTCCACGGCCCTGGAGACAAGGGGCCGGTCGAGGCCGAGTGGCACGCTGCAGGTGGGAACCGGGGGGTTGGTGATGTGGAAACACTTCTCCCTGTGGGCCTTGAGCATGTTGGAGAAGCGGAAGCGCTGGCCACACACCTCGCAGGGGTACGGCTTTTCTCCCGTGTGGGTGCGGCGGTGGCGCTTCATGTTGGGCCGACTGGTGAAGCTCTTCCCGCAGATCTCACAAATGTACGGTTTCTCTCCTGCAGAACAGAAGACACTCAATACATTTAAAAACACTTGAAACTTACAACTATTATAATAACATTACATTTAAAGTAAACTTCCTGTTTCTTAGATGCAAGGTTACTAGATTTTCTTTTAACGGTTTACTGTACATAGAAATTTCTTCAGCTGCACTTGAATACTTGTACAAACCAAACAGTGACAGAAAGGTAGATTTGTTTAATGGTATTTTTGAGCTTTTCATTTGAAATTTAATGCTTTTTCCAAAATTCAGATACCTATAGAACAGACCCTGAAGAGTAGGGAGGGTCCTGATCAGACCAGTCAGATCAAACTGGTCTTTGTGGCTCAGGAGCCAAGACACTTCTCCCAGCTCACTGGTCTTGTTTCCTAATTCATTTGCTTCTCAGAGACTTTGAGCATGTGAGTTACTTCATGTGAAACAGAGCTCTGCCACTAATTCCACTCAACTTTTAGCAATAGGAAAATCAAAAGTGGTCATTTAAAGGTCAAAATCATTAAACTGGCCCCAGCTTTGACTCACCAGTATGTGTCTTCATGTGTTCATCAAAGTATTGCTTCATGTTGAAGTCTTTTCCGCACCACTGGCACATGAACTGCTTATGTCCGATGTGGATGCTCATGTGGGAACGCAGCTGGTATTTGTACTGGAAGCGCTCGCTGCAGTTCTGCAACAGAACAAAAGATTTCCAGAGCTGGTAAAAAACGCACTTGAAGAGCCATTTTCAAATCATTTTGAGAAAGAAGCTTAAACTTAAATAGACCCGGGATGCACTTGATTCAGATTTTAGACACGTTTTATCTGCAAAACACTATGACAGAGTTCAGTAACAAAGCAATTTGTTTCACAAGGTCAAGAATGATTATTCTTGGTCCAGCTGTGTCACATATGGTTTATTTTACAAATATATGAAAGTTATTAATTTTCATAAATGTCAACCTTTGGAAAAGACATGTCCGATGAATTTTAAAATAGAACAGCTTGCTTTGAAACAGAAGTGAAGAACTGAAAATTAGCCGTCAGCTAAAATGTTTAAACCCATTGCAAAACTTACAGTATTTGCTATAAATAACTGATAAGATGAATATGTATGAAGAAGACAAGTTAGCACCTTTTATGCTAAGCTACCGTATTTTTCGTATAAGTCAAGGTTTTTTCCATAATTTACACGCCCTGCGACTTATATAGGCCAAAGCGAGGTATTTATGGATTTTTTTCCATATTTATAAACCAATTTTTGACTGAAATATGATGTTTTCATCCATTCTGACTGGAAAAAATAAAATAAAAATTTAAATAGTACCATTTTCAGCAACGACATGGCAGTAGAGTATAGTAGTAGCAGTAAGGCATGCCGTTGTATCATGTAATAGCTAAACGTGGCTATAATGACAAATTCAAAAAAGTTCAAGACAAAAACAAATGGACTTTATTTATTATACTTTAATTTATACTTTGTTTTTGTCTTGAACTTTTTTTAATTTACCATGTCCTGGATGACTGAGAATCTTCACCAGCTATTAATGACACAATCAGCTTGCCATAGTCTCCCCACCTATGTTCTGTTCGCGGCTTGGAGCAACCATCCAGCCAGCTGCACTGCCCCGGTGAAATGCAGCTAATTTTGACCATTAAAGTGCATTTATTAAGTAAAAGTTCAACTGAAACACATCTTTGCTATAATTTCGAGCAAACAAATAATTGCTTTAGGTGCTTTTTTTGTTAAATTTTGAATAAACGAACCACGTTCCTCCTTGTTATTTTCCTCCCTCTGCACGCTCCCGGAGCACCGAGGCAGCAAATGCAGCTGATTTGACCATTAAAGTCCTTTTATTAAGCAAACGTTAGACTGAGACACACCTTTCCTATAATTTCGAGCAAACGAATAATTGTTTTTAGGTGTTAATTTTGTTAAATTTTGAAGAAATGCGGGGCTCGTCCCTCTGCGCATGCCCACCCCTTCTGTGAATCGAGTTTTGAAATACAGATGATTTGACCATCAAAGTGCATTTATTAAGCAAAAGTTAGACTGAGACACACCTTTACTATAATTTCAAGCAAACAAATAATTGTTTTTAGGTGTTAGTCTTTATAAATTCTTGTTAAAATCGTCCCGTGCATGCTACCGCGGACGCCGTTTGGCAGCCAATCGATTTTTGGCACAACACCGGCCCACGTTTCCAGGTTGTCAGCGGTGACATGTAACAAATGCGACTTATACAGCAAAGCAACATATTTATGGATTTTTCCACTTTATTAGACATATTTGGACTGATGTGACTTATAGGACGGTGCAATGGGTATGGTGGAAAATACGGTTCATATGGACGCCTGCTTCATCTGCATTTCAACACCTTGAGTGGAGCATTTTGTTGTTTTTGAATCTGAGCAGGAAAGTGACAATGGCATCTGCAGCGTTTAGACGGAGCTCGAACCTCACACTTGAAGGGTTTCTCCCCCGAGTGCTGCAGAGAGTGAACCTTCAGGGACATGCTGCGCTTGAACGACTTGCCACACGTCTCACAGGTGAACGGCATATCCTTTGTATGAGCTACACACAAACACACACACAGACATACAGGAGAAGATGAGTTCTTGAAATGATGCCTACATGAGACCAAGGTCAACAGGACTGCCACTCACCAACCATGTGCTTCCTGACATGAGCCATGGTGTAAAACTTCTTCTCGCAAATCTCACATGAGAACTTCTTCTCTGCATAGCCGTGGATGATCTTGTTGTGCTCGTGTAACGACCACAGCTTCTTGAAGGCCTTGCCGCACGTCACACACTTTAAAAGGGTGAGAAATGAGGAGTTAACTTTCAAGAAAGATCAGAAACCGGAACAGACTTTTCAAAAACGTTCAAGGTATGTGTGTTTCTGCAGACACTTGAACAAGTGCTGTGGAGGAAAGGCAATTAGGGTGAGTAGATTAAAGTAGCAAAATAATCTTCAAACCCACAGCAGGAGTCCTGCAGCTCAGTGCAGAGGGATGTATCAGACACAATTAATAATTACTAGCTGCCAGTGACTGAGGAACTGAATTTAACAGGTTTTATTGTTGCAAATAGCAAGAATCTCTGCTCTGCAAAGGTTTGATTTAGACAGACCTACCTGGATGCTCCTCTCACAGTCCGTCTGCTGGTGCAGCTGCAGCTCGCTCTCCAGCAGGAACTTTTTCCCACAGTTGTTGCAGATCTGCATGCGGTTATGAGTGACGTTCATGTGTTTTTCCAGGTACCAGCGGTTGTTAAAGATGCGGGGGCACTTCTTGCATGCGAAGTGCTGCTTCTCCTCCAGCCTCACCTTTTGGCCTGGGCCCTCTACGTCCTGTGTCCCTCTACCGCTCTGCCTTCGGTTGGTCAGCGGGGCCTCTGCCAATGTCTGTCGCATAGTGGCTGCCATGGTCAAGGCTCTGGTGCCTCGGCGAAGACGATCCAGAAGGATGGGTTGCTCTAATCCTGGAATGTTAAGGGTGTTCTCCTCTTCTTCTTCTTCATCCTCCTCCTCCTCACTGCTTTGCCCCAGCATGTCACCCCTCTTTAGGTCTTCAGCATCCTTTTCCCCAGCTTCATTATTCTCCACTTCATTGTCCTCATCATCCTCTGAGCCTTGCTTGTTGTTATGGCAACAACCAAACATGGACTCTGTAGCTGTGGCAGATTTTCCCTCTGATCCCTTCGAGACATTAAGAGTCTGGTTGTTGAGGTTGACTTCAACAATGATCTGATCTCTGTTGAAGGAGGAGTGACTGTCTGCCGTCTTTGACTCCTCTCCGTTGGCCTCCACTTTACACAAACCAGCCACGCCTGAGTTAGCCACGCCCACTGAACCCCCTTCCTTTTGGTAGTACGGTTTAGTATGACAGGCCAACTTTCCCAACTCCTCCACCCTGACAGAGAATGGACTGCTGCCCTCTGTAGTGTACACCCTGCCAAGCTCTGACTCCTGTTTGATCTCCTGGTACAGCTGGTTGGGAGTCATGGCAAAAGCAGCTGGCTCCTCCTGATTGGCCATGTCTCTGCAGGTGGTTCGCAGGGAGTGGCTGCTTATTAGATTGTGGCAGGAAGCTGCGATGTCACTCATCTGTAGCAGGGTGGCAGCGTTGAGCACGTCCCGAACCGTACTGCCACTAACCAGCAGCTTAGAGGTGTAGATGAAGTTGAGGATCTGCTGTAAGCCCTGAGAGGTCAGGGCGTCCAGCGACAGGTCCACACGCCGCAGCTGCTTGCTCTGGACAAAGAGAGAGTGGAAGAAAGGGCTGTAGGCCGCCAGCACGCCCTTGTGAGCCGGGAAGGTGCTATGATGGTGCACCAGAACGATGTCGACGTCACACAGGTCGGGCTGGAAGAGGCGCTGCTCATTCAACCTGTCCATCAAACAGGTGAAGTGCAGAGCCACATCCTCCACCAGAGAGAACTCAGCAGAGGGGAAGTCTGTGGTCTTCTCCACTATGAGCTGAAAGACAGAAAAAGAAATATGAAACACAACCATTACGCTGCAGTGAAAAGTAGATATTAACATTAGGACTCATAAAGGCCATGCTCCAAGGAATTACACATTGTCCTCTTAAGAAAAAAAGCTTTGAAGCAGAGAAAAGTGATTTAAAAATAACTGATGCTCGTTTTGAATATCCAGCTCTATATGTCCACTTTTAAAGATTATAGTGGTGCCTCCTTTTCACAGATTTATAAATCAACTCTGGCAACGGCGACAAACACACCTATTTTACCAAAATGTTTTTGATTGATGCATTTAGCAGAAATGATTAAATGTTAAGACTTATTTCACCACATCAATGAATTAAATCCCTGTACCCTAAAATATAAAGTGTTTCAATAATGAATTCTCCCATTTCTTCTTCTATTCTTACAATTTTTACATTTCAGTGGAAACTGATTATCTCACCACAATGTACCCTCCTGCTGCCCTTGAGTCAAAAGGGTCATTTTGACCCAAGGGGAGCATGAGGGTTAATAGGACGACAAAACAAACTAGAGAAATTGCATTTCCTGCAAAAATCCAGTGTGAATGCTTCTTGCTGAAGATCTCACTGAAAAACAGCTGCAATTAGCTTAAAACATGCTGAAAGGTAGCTGAAACAAGCTTAAGTTAGCAGAAAAAAATCAGAAAAACATGTATTTGCTGAATTTGGTTTAAATAGGCAGCAATGAGCACAAAAATGACTAAATTAGCTTAACAAATGTGAAATTAGCAAAGAAACACCAGAATATTAGCTAACCTAAAATAAGAATATATTAGCAGAAGGAAGTGGAGAGCTCACAAGTTTGCCTAATTAGGCTGAAAGAAGCAGAAGTGGAAATAATCTGACAAAAGCAGCTTTTTGAATAAACAGCTGAATAGTAGATAAAAAATAGTAGAAAGAAGCTTCAATGACCCAAAAGAAGTAGAGAGAGGACAATAGTGCCCACTAAGACTGAAAGAAGATGAAATTAGCACCAAAAAGTAGAAATTTGCTGAAAAAAGCAGAAGTCTGCCAAAAACAGCTGAATAGTAGCTAAAAAAAATAAGTGAACAAAATATTGCTTATTAAAAATAATCAGGTTGCTGAAATTTTTAACAAATTTCTGTTGGATCTTAATAACTCAAAGAGCCTCAATGTTGATTTCTATTTCACAAAAACACTTTCTTCGCTCAGAGGATGTGCAACTCTGAACTCACTGCCAGTCATATGGTTGTTTAAATTTAAGACAGTTTTCATAGCAGAATAAGAGTTATAGTTATGTCTTTGAGTCTTTTTGTCATATTTTATTATTATAATTAGTTCTTTGGGCGTTTTTTTTTTAATTATTATTATTAAGGTGGATGAATTTGCACAAATCTGCAGAAATGAATGAAATCAAAAGGCAAAAAAAATCAAACAAACAATCAAAAAGTTACACTTTCCAACCAGTTCGTTGGTTTGTTGGTCTGCTTTTAGAGGGTGAAAAATCAAAAGCTGTAACAATCAGCACTCTGTGCAAGGTCCTCGACGTCCCAAGGTGGGCTTATTTTAGCACAGGAAGGGCAGGGTTTCGATCCAGACGGGATGTGAGTGAGGACAGAACAGCAAATATAGCGCTTTCACACACACACACACACACACACACACACACACACACACACACACACACACAC